GTGGGCAGCCCGTGCACAGCTGCTTGTTCCTGTAAGTGCAGGATAGCATAGCTTTTGCGGTGATGGCTTTATGACCGCCCCGTGTAGACTCTCAGTGCTCTGAAGGGATGCCTTGTGGCTTGGAGATGGGACTCTCACTTCTATAAATACCCAAGAATTGTGTTATTGGGCTCTGCTGATTTGAATCTATTCTTTAGAAAGTACATATTGTAGATATATTTTTCAAGCATGCATGCTTTTTTCTTTTATTGTTTATAATTCTACACTATCATCTCTTGGTGTGACTTTTTATGGAATCCAGGAAACAGTCCTAAGCTACCTGCCCCTTCACACTTCTCCGTGGTGGTTTTCTTCCCTTACTAGAAGAGGGTTTTGCATAGGAAATTTTCTTTGTTCCCCTTTTCTTGGAGTCTGTCTGTCTGCCCATCTATCACCTGTCCACTTGCCCATTTCTCTACCCACTCATTCTTCTTAATTGTTCCAAGAAGCATTTCAGGCAGCTTACAGAACAGATACCAAATAAACAGGTGAGAAAATGGGGCCAAGTTCAGACAGTGAGGCTAGGAGGCAAGCCTGTGTGAGGGTTGCAGACGTGAGACACACACCTCTGCCCTGTGACTTATAAGGTCGAGAGCAAGTGTGTGCCTGATGCTCCCAGCAGAGACAGGGAAACAGGGTTTGTGGGAGATGCTCACTGGCTGTGAAATAAATAAGTGGCTTAGGAGAAGCCCAACCTTTCCAGCTACTAAGACTTAGGAGAATATTTTGAGTGTCTTCCAAAATCAGAGTATTGCATCTTTTCTTTTGTGAGAGTTCTACGAATAGTTGGTTACATTCTAAACCTGGAAATTTCTCCAAAACTGCTTCCCACGTGAGTCCCATGGCTCAGGAATGGGATGGCTCTGCTCATTGATGGGTGTTGGCCAGAAACAGAAAATGATGGCCTCAAAGGTGCCTGGGATTTTTCAGTTATATTTTGTCAGTGCTGTAGATTTCAGAAAATGCTTTCACAGTTTCTCTCCATCTGAGGCGGCAGCGTACTCTGTTACCAGCATCAGGAGCTCAGGGCCACGGGATGGTGGGGGCTGACTGCACTGCCGTCAAGACAGATAAGGTAGTCACTTCAGGCGTAGTGCTTTTATGTAGTGCATTTCATGTTCTTTAATAGAAGTTTTCAACAGGGAGTTAATTAACTGAGTTAATTAACATTTAATAAATATGATGCTTTTTTGAAAAGACAGTTATAGGCAGAATATAAGCCATGAAAACTTTAAAAATGGTTTCATTACTGAAATTTCAGTAGGGAAGATACGCAGTTTATCTTATTTATGCCTATCTTTTAAAGTAACAAAGAAACAAGAGAAAAAGCAGAGGATGATTTCTGTTCTTCCTCTCGGCTTGCAGGTGCCCTCACCTCCAGTGGCATCCATGCAGACATCAGCACTGAAACTGGCCATGCTCAGAACTGCCTCAGCCCTGAAGACACAACTGACAAATAGAAGGGGGCCACGCCCTGTTACAGCAGGTGCTCTCACTTTGTGGGTCCTTATGTAACTGCGTGGTGTTATTCAGGATCACCCATTCTACATTGTGTGAAGCTGCTGCGGTGTCTCCTAGTTATTTGCTTCTGTAAGTACTCGTGTATTTTCTCCAATGCATGGTACTAGACATCTAAAAATGCTTTTTTCAGATGAACAATTATGTGTATTTAATATAATAAGTCTGAAAAAAGGGGCAAAAGGGGCTATCCTGGTCCCACTACTCACAGATAATAATTAACACTTTAACATCTATTTTCTGTTCTTTTCGTCAGTGTGTATCAGCTCTGTCATAAAAACCAGTGAGCACTCTGTGCGTGTTTACTGTGTGGAGACCTCCACTTTCCATTCGGCTTATTACAAGTTTTTCTACAATATTCTATCTCCCCTGGCATGATTTTTAATGACCAGTATAGCATTCTGTCTTGTGGAGGCATCGTCCATTTTACTTT